TCTGCAAACAAAGCTGAAGGTGAAGAAGCAATGAGTTCTTCCTTCAAGATACCAGCCCAGAATCCAGGCCACTAGATTTGCAAGTGAGGGTGAGCCCTTAAATAAGGCCACGTCCAAATGGGCAAGATACGTGGGAGTAACAGCACTCAGCAAAGGGGAACAGGATGCCCTGATATCCCATCTCCTGGGCTGAGGATGCTGAACAGTTAAAGACACCAGTGGTAACTGGGCAGATTTTGAGAAGTTCTCCATCCTCCTTCTAAATATCCTACCATGAACTTTTGAGGGTAGAAAATGCCTTCAGATGAGTAGAGCATATTGTGAACAGAAATGTGGTCACTGAAGGTTTAGCAGTAATTCATGTGGCAATAACAGACCTTCTCACTTTATAAATAAAACAGGAACTCAAGAATTGTGGGCATAGAAGCCATCGCCTTTAACTGGGAGACCTTTTTCACGAAGAGAAAAAAGTAACTCTAGAGAATATACAACAGGCCCCGGGTAGAATTCAGGATATGCATACTGTAGTATCCACCAAGGTTAAGTAAATCAAGGGGATTGAGGCAAATCAGATTAAAAATACTAATTCACGTGTACCTCTGCTGCTGAATCTAAATTACTCATGTTGGTAGATCCCATTAATCAGATATATGTCATATTCACTCCCATAACTTCTCTTTTGTACAGATACTTGGATTTTAATGGTTAGAGGGGAGAATAATTATATGCATGATTATGGTCTTAGATTAATTCTCTCACCAAATCTGACTAAAGAGAAGAGAGCAAAGTCCTTTCCTCTTTCCATCTTACGCTGAGTTAATAACTTCTGAGATCCTGGCATAAAAAAATCCGCACGTTCCTTTTCAAACTTTAGGCTGTACATCAGTAAATGCAAACGCTGCTTGTCACCCTATTTTACTGGATTTTTCCAGCCTGGTTTCCCATGCTGCCCAAATTTCTCTGATAAAGATCCACTTTTTACCCTCACCTTGTGCCCCTGAATAAGGATTCAGTGTCTTCCTGGCCTCAGCCATCAGGGCCTTAATGTTAAGACCTCATTTCCATGCTGAGCAAAAACCCAGAGGCAGAATTCTGTTAAATGCAAGGAGACTTCCCTGGGCACCTGCAGAACAGCAGCTCCGTGAGTGAGGAGAGAAGCAGGCGATGGGAAACTGACCCTCCAGCCCAGCTCAGAAGCCCAAAGGCACTGTGGGCTCCAATCCCCGCTGCCATCATTAACCGGAGCGGGGCCGACTCCATGTCTGCTGCTCCAGTGGCTCCATCTTTCACACGTGGCTTGCAAGTTTGCTCTGCTTAGTTAGCTGCATCAAGCCAGTGGAAGGGGAAAGAGCATGGCACCCCCCATGCTAAAGATAGTCCTGGGCCAGGAGAGACATCGCTTTTGCTCACATTCCACTGGCTAGAGCTAACCATGTCAGACGACCACACCAGCTACAAAGGAGGCTGGGAAATGCGGTCCAGCTGTGTGCCCAGAGAGAGGCGGGAATCCATTCCATGACGCTTAGCCAGTCCCTGCCACAGGGTTTGTCCTGCATTCTCACAGAGCCCATCATCCTGTTAGGAAAATAGACCCAAACATGGGAGCAATTCAGTAATCATGCCCCTCAGCTACTGCCAGAATGAACGAGGGATATCATCTGGCTAGGTGTGGAAGCCAGTATGGCCTAGAGATGACAGTCTTATGGAAAGGGTTTTAATGCAATCCTGCATGATGAGCAGGTCTCGGGTGGGCAGGAGCAGGGAGAGTGTACCATGCGAAAACGGACAAAAGCATCAGCTCAGAAATGAGAGGGCCTCATTCCAGAGACAATGAAACTAGTCTGGCAGGAAGGGAGGGGTAGACTGTTCTCATCAAAGAGAGCGTTTGAGCGAAAAGATCTCACTGACCTCTGGTTAGGAAATGTGTGAGGCCAGGAGTCTCTATTTCTAAGACCAAGTGGAATCTCAGTTACAGAGATAATATAAGAGGCGATGTGAGGTCAATTTCAAACCTATATTGAATAATCAATCTGGCTACCTCTCGAGTCTAAAACGTTAAAAAAAAGTCATATCTCAATCCAAGATTCCTCTAGCTTTTCAGGTTAAAAATTCTAAGTTTGAATTATTTCAGGTGAGAGATGTTAATCCAGATGGACACTAGTAGTGAACATGACCTATAAATAGATATGTGCTGAGAATTTTCCCTCTAGGCACGTAGACTTCTTTCAAGAGGTCACGGTATTCTCCTGTCGGTTTTACTCTTTCTGACAATAGCTTTAATTGAATTCTCCATGTATACCTTCTACCTACTTTGCACCGAGCCCTTTATTAAGCCCAGATAACATCACAGTACCAGTTTGAAAAGCGATGTGCTTATTCTCTTGCACACCCCATATGTGCGTTCTGTGAGAATATATTTATTGTAATATAACATACACTTATATAGGTGTGAAAATATAAGCCTTTCACAAAAATTCTTATTTTAAGAAAGTATAACACCACCAACAAAACAGAATTGGAACATCTCTGAGCTTTCATGGTTATTTAAAGCAAGTTGTGCGAAAGGATGATATTTACGTACCATTTTCTTGCCTATGGCCTTAACACAGAAATAGATTTTGTTTTCCAAGTCAATTTGTATTTGTCTTACATATGTGGAAACTATAACAACAGAGGATTCACGTGTGCCTTGGCATTCAAGAAATTACCTAGTACCACCAACTCTCAGTTTTGACAACTAATTGGTGAATTAGTTAGGCTCTGTGAATTTCAGTGTAGTCTCTTACCTGGTCTTGTTCCTGACTATGGCAACTCCTCTCCCTACCTGTAGAGTAGGTTAAACAGCCACTCCCATCCCTCTGTCACCAGGGAGGAATCTGAGACAGAGAGCTTCAGTTACATTCCCAAGACCTGGTAACAGTGTGCCTCAGACGGAGCTGAAGCTCAGGTCACCTGTCCCCTTGTCCCAGGACCTGTCCCCTCTCCCACACAGTGTTACTGACTTCAGTTGAGGGGAACTGAGTGTTTGGGTATAAACTGCTAAAATATAACATCATTTAGGAGGATGCATTTATACGTATATTCATGCAGAAAGCAAAGGATGACATCATGTATTTGATAAGGAGTGAAGAGCAACCATGAACCAAATTACCTCAGATGTCTAATCTAGAAAGACTTTTCCCTAAAATCACATGACATACCACTTAAATTCATCATTTCTTTTCTTGAATGTCATTTCCTATAACTTCTTGGACTGTTTGCATATTGATAAGTGTTTCCTTAGGTCTCAGAACATTATCATTCTTTTGGCACTCTCTCAAGCTTTAAAACCTATATGTGGGTGGGGAAAAATATAAAGACATCTTTTTCTTTATAGACTACAACAAATATCAGTAGGGTACTTGCTACTCACTGAGTATTAGACACTGTGACAGGTCCCAGGGATTAAATGACTATTGCCCCCAGGAGACTCAGTTTCTAGAGGGAGCTTGGGGTAAGGATTATAAAAATCATGCAGAAAAAAAAAATCCTGATTCTAGTTACCTATTGATGCCTTAGCTCTGTGGGAGAAATTAGAATTTTCAAAATAACAGGCAACCAGGTTAGGATTTAGGCCCTTTTTGGTGAAAGTAGCTCCACAAACACAGATTGAGGAAAGCCCAAGTATTGGTCTGAAGCAAAGAGTGATTTAGAGCTTCACTGGGAAGGAGGAGGACGATCCGTAGCAGAAAAAAATACCTTTGCTCCTGCAGAGGGATGCAACACAGTCCTACCTCAGCACCCTCCCTCCATCGGCTGCTGTAGGCATTTTTGTCGAGTGGCCAGCTAAAGCAAGTACACAGGGCTCTCACGCAAGTTCAGGCTGCAGGGAGTAGTCCGATGGAGAACATAGTGAATGTGCCTCGTGTTCGTGGAATTTACAGTCTCTGTTGACAACAGGATAGGTCCAGGGGGACAGAGGGACCCATGGGGCCACCCCTGTACTCCAAGATGAGCTTAACATTAATTAGTGACACAGAATCTGAGACATTTCCTGGATCAACATCAGTATGCAGCAAGGCCTTTACAGGGAGGAAAAGGAACAGAAAAACTTTGCAGAGGTGAGGGCAGCATGCTTAGCCACATTATTTACTTACTCAATTCGATATTTTAGTGTCTGAAGTCACAAAAGTTGTAACCAAGACAAACCAGGCTACAAGTACCATTTTAAAATGTCATCAGCCTAGCAGAAACGTTAGACATAAATCACGAGTTTTATTGTATTTGCAATTAAACAGATCAAATTTAATGTCCACAGAAAAGCCTTAGTAATTAGTATAAAGATTAATATAGTGAAATGTCCCTGGTTTAGCAGGCCTCCCAAGCAAAGCTGAAATAAAGAATTGAGTATATAATCAAATAGCATGTGAATATTAATGCACAAAGTCCTCCAAGTCCCCAGATCCCAAATGCAATTATTTTCTATTCACATTAATTGTTCCTAACAGATGACATTAATGACTTTGAGTTAAAATGTGTCCAAGGGAAGATTTCACAAGATCAATGCTGTTTAAAAATAAGGTCACTTTTATAATTATTTGCTCAGATTTTAACCGCTGCTCAACATAATAAGGTTAACATGGTGATTGTTTTCTAATGTGAATATCAAAAGTTAATTTTCATACTAGCCTATAAGTGTATTGGATGATTCACATTTTTCCTGCTACTTATTTTCCACCTACTACTTTCTTTTTCCTACTACTGATTTTCCAACACAGACGACTGACAGACTGTGATTATCATTTATAAGTTCAAGTTTGCACATATATAGGTATATATATATCTATAGATATCTATATATATATGGGTTGCCGATAAACTAGAATAAACTTTTTTGAGTTAGGCAATGTGTTATCTAATCTAGAAACGTCAACTCCGTGGAGATGTAGCTGTCCGAGGCAGGATTTTGAAACAAACAATTAAGTCATCACTATGCAATGTTTCTGCTTGTTTTTACCTAGAAACTTCACTCACGCATCTTAGATCTTTCATCCGGAGATTTGCTTTCAGATGTGGAAAGAAGCCGAAGTCTGACGCAGTCACGGACTGATGTTGAGATGCATGTGAGTATCTCTCTTACCTTTAGATCGCTTGTTTAGGTTATTTTCCTGCCATCAAATATGATGTCACAAGTGAACCATAAAGCACATCCTTGAAGCATTGTCAGGCAGATAAAAATACCTCCCTTTCTTGTGTTCTCTGAAATTCAATATCATGTCCCCCAGCTGATAGAGTAAGCAGAAAGTGTCACTCCTGGCAAAAATACCATAAATCTTGGCTTTGTCCCCAAGATACCTTTTTGGGTATTGATTACATCTCAAAGTCTCTGAGAAATGGTCAAGGAGCTTTTTATTAAAGCCCATGGCCTATATTATTCATCCTACTTTTATGATATATTATGTATGAACTTTTAAAAATTCATGGGCTATACATTTTTTTTCTTTAGCTAGCGTTAGCTTTTGCTTATTTGGCAAAACTTTACCCAGCGTGGCTTTTAACTCTCATTGACATAACTTGGAAAATACAAGAGCCAAATAAATATGTAATGAAAAACGTTAGGCCTAAAACAATGACGGATGAACATTTGTGGATAATTGGCTTTTGATTTTACTGTATAATTTTATCAGTGTAGGGAGGATATTCTGTATCAAAGGTAAATAGTCTCAGTTTAGAATGGAATTAAATTTCAGTGGAATGCTGTCACTTTAAACACTCATGAAGACCTTAATGGCATCCAATCTATCACACAGCCTTAGGTCAGGAATTTTTTAAGTGTGCAGTTTTTACACAAGAAACTCTTGCCATCATTCTCCCTGTCTCCTTTTTTTAACTGAAATTGCGGATTTTGTATTGCATTTTTCACAGTGAGGATGTTAAAGCCAATGAGTCACCCAAGGTAATAATCTAAAACACACAATGAGAAAAGTACATTTCTAATAGTGCAAGCAGGGGTTATTTTGCCAGTGAAGTCCACATAAGTAAGATAATGTTACAACGGAAACCACTATACATTTTCTTGGGCAGAGGATAATTTTAATAATAATCATTATCTGTTACTAATTAGAACTCTTCCCAGTTGGGTGCTCGGTGGTCAGTATTCGTCTAGGAGTTCTGCTTATTGTCAAGGGCCTTACTTGGTGGTATAGCAGAGGGGCTAGTACCTGGGCCCAATGTTAGAGTGTTGTACTGGCTGGGGGACCTTATGCAAGATCTTTATGCCTTCGTGCCTCAATTTCCTCATCTGAAAAACGAGCGTAATGATACTTCTTTTCTGTTTCTGAAAACTGTGGTGAGGATGACATGACATAAAATGCAGGTACCGCAATGCTTGCTAATGACGTTAGGACAATAATAAGATCTCTGCTGTTTAGCCCTCTTCGTTCTTCTTCGAACTTGGTCCTATGCCTCAGCCACAGAACACCATGGCAGAGATGGGGAATGATACCAGAGAGGTATCTGCTAGCACGTCTCTCCAGAAGCTTATGTCAGGACTTCCCAGAAACAAAGTGCACCCACACTTTTGGCTTTTGCTCAGCCCTGTTCTGGTGTACAAGGCATCAGACAACACTGGTACAGTAAGTATAATATAGCATCTCTTAGGGAGACTATGAACTTAGGATTTAGTTTGAGAGTCAAGACGTGTATATAAAAAAATATTAATAATAGTAGCAACACCTGAATATTACTAAGCATTGCTATATGCCAGGGGTTGTTCAGATTTCACAGTGATCTTAGGTGGTCTGTGCTTTCCTCATCTCCATTTACAAAGAAAGAAATTGAGGCATGGAAGGGTTAAGTAACTTTCCCAAGGTCAAGGAGTTAGCAAGTAGAAGAGCCAGGATTTCAGCCTAGTAAATGGCTTTACAGTTCAAGCACTCAACCACAGAGCAGTTAGTTATTCACTGCAATAGATAATCCTGCTTGATAATCATATGCTGATGAAGGAAACTGCAGGAAAAAGGAGCTCACCTTGCAGCCATGATGTCAGAGATTCTGGATCCCTTATTAAATTCAAACATTGATTGTTTAAGGTGGGGGAAATAAAATGTCCCAGTAGGGAGGACTGGCCCTCTATTTTTTTTTTTTTTTTGAGATTTTATTTATTCAATTGAGAGAGAGTGAGAGTGCCTGCCCACAAGCAGGGGGAATGGCCGAGGGAGAAGGAGAGGCGACTCCCTGCTGACCTGGGAGCCGGAGGCGGGGCTCAATCCAATACCCTGAGATCATGACCTGATCAGAAGGCAGATGCTTAACCTACTGAGCCACCCAGGTGCCCCAGCCCTCTTCTTTGTAAGGAATTGCTCAGTAATTGCCCCACCACACACACACACACACACACACACACACACACACACACACACACCCTCCCCAGTCCACTGGCCCATGGGTAGACTTCGACCATTCCCTTCATCCTGCTCCACACAGTCCAGGTCAGCCTGTGAGGTGACACAACTCGCTACCAAGTAACCCACATAGGAGGTAGACTCTCCCTCTCATAGTTTCCCCTTAGGGCTGGTCCTAGACCAGCAGCATCAAAGCACTGGGAGTGTCCCCAAAATACTACATCTCCGATTCCACCTCAGAATGATTGAATCAGAATCTGCAAGATCGCAGATGATACATGTGCGCACTGAAGTCTGAGAAGCCTGCACTTCTCTGCTTGCCACCCCCAACCCCGCCTGCCTCTACACCGCACTGATGAGCCTTCCCCACCTCCCCGAAGTATCCTCCATCCCATCTGGGCATCTGAAGTTCACGGTCAAGGCAGAAGCAGCAGTTCCTTCCTTTGCTAGCTCTGAGGTCAGATTTCCTGTTCTCTGAATCCAACATCATCCCGGAGGTACACACAGGAGCAACAACTGGGAGACGATGCTTGTGTGTAGAAAGAGGCCTGCAAATTGAGTTGAGTTGTAAAAATAGATATCATGTTGAGAAGGTGTAGTGGGAAGGAACAGGTGGGAAAGAGAGAGGGAAACCACATAAGCTTCAGTACTTCGGGAAAAGGTGGAGCCCAAGCTGTAAACAGAAGCTGTGCAAAGCGTGAAAACGGTGTATTTTCTAGAAAAGTTTAGATCTGGATGGCCTCGCACAGGACACAGACACAGTCTCTCTCTGGAGACAGACCTACCTGTCAGAGCAGAGGCAGTCCTAAAGAAAACCACCACGCCACTTAATCAAACGACGAAATAGGCGAGAGGTTTGGGGATGGTGAACGTGGAAAGCACACAAGTAGAAGTAGAGCATGATGTGTTACTTCTGGAAGCTTGTTCTAGATGTGTGCAGTGGCTGACATGTCAGTGTCGGGCCCTCCCAGGCAAAGGCACTGCTGCCCGTAGGCATCTGTCACGATACAAACTCCCCTTAACTAAGCCACGTGCAGCAGTAAACAAGGTCATAAATCAGCAGATACTGCTGAATGCTCCATTTTAAGACAAGTTTCTTCTTTCTGTGAACTTCAGAGCCGGATTTCTAGGGGGTCAAGAATAGAGTAGTAAAATTTCTTGTCATTTTTAGATCACTTAAAGGGATGGTTTTGCAGCAAAAATGAGGTATTGAGAGCAGGCAGATACCTGATATTGAAAATCTAACCTTGTGAAGCATTACGGATATTGATTAAAGCTGAAATTAAACATACCCTCTGTACTTACGTGGGGGGTTAGCACGTACCTCGAGTACTCCCAGGACAGCACGCCTTGCCTTCCTCAAGTGGGTGTTTGGTCACCGTCCCTGGAACCGACGGCTGGAATTGCATTTGGAGAACAGTGATAAGTACTCAGGTACTAAAGGCGCCTGTAAAATGTCAATAAATTGCATAACTAAGAGGCTTTGCCATTCTGCAAATGACACAAAGACAGATGGTTCCCCATCAAAGACTTTCTGAGACAAGCTTTATATAGATAGGGGAGTGGAATGAGACTGTAAGGAGAGACTTTGTTCTCGTGATCAGGATGCTAAATTAGTTTAGCTTGTCCAGCTCTTGGAGCTTCATCTTTTACATTAGGGGCTGAGAAGGTGGCTATCAAGATGTGCTGGATGTTTACAATTCTGTCGCCTGTGCCTCTACAGACCCTCTAGAATTCTAACCTCCTGGATCTTTTGCGTGGAATCCAAATCTAGTCAATGTGACAGTTTTTATCATTTGGACAACCAGTTGATATGAAAAGTTCTATAACCTTTACAGCAGAACCTCATGATTCTGCCCTAGTGTTCCACTGGTTTCCATGGCTTCCTGGGCCTTTGATTCCTGACTTGGCATGAGGCTGTCAGAGCCATAGGGGACCCTGGGAGTAATCTGGTAGAACTCCCTCCCCTACAAAGGAAGACCTTGAGGTCCATGGAAGTTAAATGATTTCTTTGCCCAATATCTCATACCACTGGCAATGTGACATCCAGGTCACTAGACTCCCAGTCTAGTGCTCATGCTCTTGAACCCCACAACCAAAGATGCTACCCTGTCTTCATTCTTCTGGACTTTTAGTCATGTCTTGATATTGATCTGATTCTTTGACCAGTATGCCTGGATAAAGTAGGAAACTTCCATTGTGGTAATTCTGCCTAAGGGTGATGGCAGCTCATCATAATCAAGTACCTACTTAGGCCAGGTACTTTGCAATATGCTTCTCATCTGGAACCCCATTTGGTCTTTGCAGTAACCCCATAACGTAGGCAGTATTATCATTATTTACTTTTTAAAAAATGTAGCTCTAAGAGATTAAATAATCCCTCCTAGTGTGTTAGTAAGAGGTAGAGCCAAGATTGGAACCCCTAGTCTGTCTGACCCAAAAGCTGGGCTTCTCATCACTGGGCTACCTTCCTTTCTATCTCAGTATGATGTTGACTTGGTATCTGCTGTCCCCAAAGCAAAGCCCTCACTCAGAGCTCTCCTGCTTTTTTAGGAATGCCAGCCGAGTGCAAAATCAGGAGTCCGGGCTTTGAAATGCCCTGGCTTGGGGGTTGTCATCCCTGGTCATCTCTGTCCTCGAAACAGCTGCAGCAGCAGTGAGCTTTCCCTTTCGAGCACCTGCAGCGAGTACTCCAGTGGCTCCTCCTACACGTGGCATGATGGAAAGAACCTCAGGAAAAGGGTAAGGCTCCTTTCAAGGCACTTCATCATCAGAGTGAGCCAGAAAAGAATTCTCTTCCGGTAGGAAGGTGGAAGGTGGGTGGGAGAGCTAAGAAGGGAATGACCCTTTGCTTAGTACCTGTTCATTTACTCCTCACAAAACTAGACATGGGGATCTCATTTTCTCCATGATATGGGAGAGGAAGCTGGTTCAGAAAGGTTAAATCACTTGCCAGAAGTCACACAGCAAGTGAAGAGTGGAGGGATGATTTGACCCAAATGACTTGGATGGCATGGGAGGGAGTTTGGAGGAGGAAGAATTTTCCTTCTGTGCTTTGCTGGAGCCCACCAAGCTCATATATTTATATCAAGTTGGAACCTAGAGCCCTGCCCTAATGGAACTGACCATGCTCCAGACCAACTCAGACATTTCCAATTAGTTTTATGGACACTCTCTATCACTGTAACGCTCAGAGAGACTTGTTAATGTCCACTGCAAATGAGAGTGAGCAAGGCCACCTGCCAAGCCATCCCAGCCTGAGCATCCCTTGAGAACTCAAAGAGAATGTTACCCCCCTCACCAGACAATAGGGAGGTGGTATATCATCTCAGAATAAATGACCGAAATTTTGAAAGTATCATTAGCTTTGTTGGAATTTACTACTCAGGCATAGCATGTATTATATTGACCTCCTTTACTCAATTCTATAGCCTCATAAAACACTAATTGACTATAAATTGGAGGGCGGTATGGCAGAGAGAGAAAATACCATGGTGGGCGACAGGGACCGTGGCTTCCGTGGAGGTAGGCATGCCCCTGCTCAGATGCCAGGAGTCCTTGTACTGGGTTATTTACCAAATCTTGTTGCTCCATGGCTCCCATCTGCAAAGGGGGCCCACACGACTGAAGATTCTTTCAGGCTCTGAACGAACACCTTTGCACACTGGGGTAAGCCGAGTGTTTGGAATAGCTGTCTTTGCAGCTTCCCGATGTTGAAGAGAAGCAAAGAGTACACAAGCGTGGAAACCCTGAATCAGAAGGCTTGGAGGTCATGTTTCTATCATTTGTGTAAACTCCGATTATGATTTGGAAGCATAGAAACCAGGAAGAGTCCATAACTGCCAGAAAATAGTAGTGAGGGAGTAGCTTTGTCATACTCTGAACAAGAACTTGGAAAAAGATTTTGAGCTTGAATTTCGAGCTTATTCCCTTGGACTCAGCGTCCTAATATGAAGTGTGTATTTTATCAGAGTCATTCCTTCTGAGCAGATGTGCAGAGTTCTGAATGATGTCTGCTGGGGCCTGGCTCTTAACACACTGGGAAGCCCGGTCAGGGATGTTCCCTGTCTTTGTGGTTGTCACGGGCTCCATGGCCCCTGCTCTGCTCTCTTCGCTCACCTTCTTCCTCCGTCTCCTCCTCAGAGCCTTTATCTTGTCTTTCTTTGTCTTGCCTTGACTTTTTTTTCTGAAATTCTTCCAATTTGAATAATCTTTGATCTTGTAAGGAAACCTCTTCCCTGAAAACGGAGAAATTAAGTTCTTCTGCACTTTGTACACACTCAGGTGGCCGTGGTCTGGAGATGTCACAGGGAAGAGTCCCAGTTCTCAAGGACCCAGCAAACTGGACACTCCCCCATCGAGACATTTAAATTTATATTATTTCAGGAACTTCTACAGTGCTTACCATGTGCCATGTACTCATTTAGTATTCACTTAAATAATAAACTCATAGAGGGGTGCCTGGGTGGCTCAGTTGGTTAAGCGACTGCCTTCGGCTCAGGTCATGATCCTGGAGTCCCGGGATCGAGTCCCACATCGGGCTTCCTGCTCAGCAGGGAGTCTGCTTCTCCCTCTGACCCTCTTCCCTCTCATGCTCTCTATCTCTCATTCTCTCTTTCTCTCAAATAAATAAATAAAATCTTAAAAAAAAAAAACTCATAGAATATGAATTTGAATGGGACTACAATATTAACTTACAGAATAATAAATATATGACCAATGGCTCTTATAATTCACAAGTATTTTTCTTTTTAATATTGTTCGGTATGGAAACAGAAAGGAAGCCTGCATGAGATGTATTAGGCTGCCCTACATGGAGGAATCTGGGTCTAAGTCACAAGTACTTACCGTGTGGGATGCAGCCTTGGTGTAGTATTTCACAAGTATTAGTTCAATCAGTGCTCATAAGAGCCTAGTTAAATAGGCTCTCCTATTTCCCTATTATACAGGTGAGAAAATGGAGGTGCTGAGAAATTAAGTAGCTAGCCAAAGATCTCATAGCTAGGAAGTGGCAGAGCTGGCTAGTTGGTTCCAGAACTTTCACTCTTTACCATTCTGCTCTAGTGGCTTTGTTGAATCAGCCAAGCTTGGGATGGATTTGTTATATTAAGACCAAGAATGTCCTCTAAGAAAAAATGTGTAGAACTATTGTCCAGTCAAGAAATAAGAAAGGACTGTGGGCATCAAACCCAGGCCCCTGCTTTATCAGGAGCACCCTTCAGCCAATTCCACTGCTCCCAAGAACAGCTGTTTTCCAAGCAAAGCATGAAGGCTGTCTGTGGGAATGTCAGCTCCTGCCCCCATCTCTCCTACAGGGGATGCATGCTTTTTTAATTTTTTTTTTCAATTTTCCAGACTGTTCCAAACTTTTCTCAAGTTATTAAATACCATAACATCCTATGGAAAACTGATTGAGGAATGTGACTAATCTCACAGGATGAGAGCCCGGGGCCCTGGGAGGTTTGCAGCCACTGGCCCTGGGATAATCAGATCATAGGCGGGAAGGCTATGAAGAAGCAGCAGGAGGTGGGCTGAGCACATCTTCCATGGGTTGAACAAATCTGCCTTTTTCAAGCTCTTGCAGGGTACTTTTGCTGGCTTCTCTTCTTACTGTGAATGTGACTCTCAGGATCATGGAAATTCTTTGAAATCCAAGCAGTGGCAGCCTGCCCATGTCGGACTCTAATACCCAAACTCACTAACGGGATTTCTCCTGATTTCCAAAGAAATTTTTAATGGCGTAGAGGAAAAGGAGAGGAAAGGGGTAGCATCACCAAATAGCATCCATCCGCAGCAACTTCTGACCCTGGAGAATTTTCTGAAGAAAATATATAATTTGACTTAAAAACAATAAACATACAACGGATAAAAAAAACAAATAACACCATATGTTGTTGTTGATAGCAAGAGTAATTTTAATGGAAATGTCTTAGATGCAAGCACATGTTCACCGCTTACTAAAAAGCCAAGGTTCCAGTGTAAGTTTCTGACACTTTTTCAACCTCTGCATACAAGCACACAGTCTGTGTTCAGTTATGGGGTGGGAGCAGCTAGTGTGGAGATGCCAATGGGAGTTGCGCTCTTAGCCATGATGGGCACAGAGCACACATCTGAAACCACCAGATTCACTCACCGAAGTTCTTCACCATTAATCATATAGCTTAAAAAAAAAAAAGACTGAGGTCAGTGCCCAAATCCCACTGATTTCCCTGAGTCTTGGTTTGTGATTAAACTCTGCAGGTTCCATTCAAGAAAGGGGCGTAAGGAGACCCTACAGTCTCTATTATGACATTGACTAATACAGAGGAGAGAACAGAGGTCAAGCTTGGCTCCGGTAACATGGCATCGCCAATAGGCGTGCAGCCTCTAGAGTCAGCCTGCCTGGGTGCAAATCGCCACACCACCACTCTAGAACGGAGTCATAGGAAGAGCCCGGGAAACCAGAGCGGAAACCGTTGTTCCAACTCGTCCTTAACTGTGTGATCTCCAACAGACTAACCATGCTGCCTCTCAGTTTCCTCCCTAGTAAAATAGGGTTGATAATGTCTCCCTCGTGGTGGTGTTCTGAATTTTAAATCAAAGCCCTGTTCAAGTGGCTGCTACACAGCAGATGCTCAGGAAATGCTAGCGCTCTCCTTCTGCCCTTCTACTTCTTGTTAGCAGTACTGTGAAAAATATGAAGGTCTGTGCAGGATATAATGCTTTTTCTGTGTTGTTTCTTCATCAAAACTAGCCCTAGTATTTGAGATGGTAGGAGGGACAGGAAATGGACCTTTCTTGGTAGGTGAATCATTACTAACGGGTTCTAACAGCCAAGGTCCCACCGCTAGACATGTATGTATGTGTTTCACAGATGTTCCCTTTCTATCAAATGAAGTCACAGAGCTATCAAATCTTAGAGTGGAAGGGACCATGGAGATAGGGACCAACTTGCCTTTCCATTTGCCCTCTCTACCTCTTGTAAACACTATACAGTGAGGCCGTATAGTCTTCTGGTTATTTCCTAAGTGTACCTTGAACCTATCTCCACAATTCAGATCTTTGACAACCCACTTCTTCTACCCAGAAATCCTCTCCCCCATTTTTCAACTAAGGCAAACTCATCCTTCATTCAAGGGCTAGGTAGGTTAAAAAAAAACAAAAACCTCTTCATATGCCTTTCATGGTTTTTCCTAGCAGAGGTTTGATCTCTCTCCTCTGAATTTCTGGAGTTCCTACTACATTTGTATTTGTCATTTGCTCCCTTGACTTCTGGTTATTTGCGCCCAGTCTCCTCTCCCCTGCTGGCTTGCATGCTCCTCGAGGGCAGGGTGCTTATCTACTACTTCATTATATCATGGGCTCCTTAGCTCAGAAGCTGGCAAAGCAGAGATTTGCTGCATAGTTAATGATTAATATGCAGTAATTAATTAAAGTATGCATTTATAGATGAATACTTAACCACTAGCATCAAGTCTAATGACAGACTTTTCCTTTTTACAGCTGTGATCCATGTGGTTCAGTGATTTCTGATACCTACTTTTCTTTCCTAGAAATCATCACAAAACTGGGATAAAAGGCTAAGTATTGACTCTTCGCTCCCGAGTGGCTTTGCTAGTCCTACAGATGAACTACCTCCAACTCGTATCAAGGAAAGTCACATTTTGGAAGGACTGAGGAAGCTACAGAAACGAAAAGTGCTACTTGAACCCCCATCAGTGATAACCAAATGGGGTTATAAAGATTGCATGAACTCCAATGAA